TTACGCGGCGAGGGAAAAGGGAGCAAAGAGGGGCAGCAAAAGGGACAAAAGGGACGCGGTCACGCCAGCGGCTGGCAGCGGCGGTCGGGGCGACCAAGTCGGCGATCCCGTTACGTTCAGAGACAGCGGCGGGTCGGCGTGCGGGGTCGCTGTCCTGTGTCCTCCCAATGCGACTCAGAGGTGCACCGCCGAGGCGTCCAAGGCACTGAAGGCGGAAGCGCGGGCGCAAGCACAAGAGAAAGGTCACTGCCGCTTGCAATCCCGGAACCGGCACGCGTCGCAGACGGGAGGCTCGGCAGGAGCGTTGCGATGGCGAAAGGAGAAGCACACCAGGCGGGCAACCTCCAGGCCGCGTGCGATGGAGACGGGCCGTTGGCCGTGCCATCACAACTTGTCGTACAGGTCGGGTTCGAAGGTAGCGTGTGGCGCCAGGCGAGCACCACAGGAGGCCGGCCGGAGACCGAATTTTCTTTTTCTTCGCACGACACCGGGCACTGCAAATTTGCAGTGCCAGTCCCGTACCCGGTGTCGTGCGAGGGAGTTCGTTGTAAAATTCTTTTTCTTCGCGGAGAGGCGGAGGTGTGGCGACTGGCAGGCGACGGATGCGGCGCCGGGTGGCCGGCGACGGCGAAGGAGGCGGCGGCGGGCAGGGGCGACGCGCCTTGCCCATGCTCTGGAAATGTGTTCGGCTCGGAGCCGATGCTCTTCTCGCAAGATGCGCTGCAAAGCAAAAGAAACAGCTCACTAGCCACACCGCCCTCTACCTGTCTCTCCTGGAGATGTCTGCTCTATTTATTTATTTATTACCTTGTCGGAGGATCCGAACACGGACGCACGTCAAACTATTCGTTCACATTCACGGCACACTGTATTAATTCGGGCGTTCGCGAGCCCCTAGCTCGCCGACGGCGAGAGAGATGCCACGACCCACGAGGCGTCGCGGTGGCGTCCAGAGAGAGAGAGAGAGTGTTTGGCGTCCATCGCCAGGAAACAAAACAAACGCCGGCTCCCTAGGCCTAGCTCAACCGACGACCCTCGTGCCTCGGGATCGACGGCCGATCGTCATCGGCCTCGCTGTCTGCTGTCTGGAGGAATCTGTCGGCGGTCAGTACGACCGATCAGGACGGAGTCTTCGCCGATTTTTCTTTTCTTCGCGATGTCCACCCCGCCGCGCCGCCGCTCGCGCCGCCTCGCCTCCTCCTCGACCGCCGCTCCCTCGCCAGACGCGCCGCCGCCCGCCCGCTTGCTCGACCTCCCCAGGGAGCTCCTCGAGCGCGTCCTCTCTCGCTGCGACAGCCCCGTCGACATCGCTCGCGTCGCGGCCGTCTCGCTGCTCTTTCACTCGCTCGCGGAGCAAGGCATCCGCTTGTGGGCGCAAGGGCGCGGCTTCGAGCTGCCGGCGCAGCCAGAGGACGAGGGCTGCGCCGTGCGATGGCTGTGCTATTCTGCGCTGCTTCTCGAGTCCAACCCGCCGGTGAGGGCGGCGGCAGGCTCCTCCCACAGCCTCTTCATCGACGGCGAGGGGCGGCTCTCGTCGTGCGGCTCGTCCAACGACCCAGAGCTGCTCGGGCACGGCGAGGGCGTGACGCGGCTCAACACGCCGACCCGCCTCTCCTCTTCGATGGGCGGCGAGCGCGCCGTGAGTGTGTCGGCTGCATGGTACCACAGCCTCGCCGTGACCGCCGACGGCGTCTGGAGCTGGGGCTATGGAAGCACTGGCCGCCTGGGCCACGACGACGGGCAACACCATTGGCAGCCGAAGAAAGTCGATGCCTTGGCTGGCCAGCTCGTCGTCGCCGTCTCGGCTGGAGATAGTCACAGCCTCGCCATCACTGCCGAGGGCAGCGCCTGGAGCTGGGGCTGTGGAGGGCGAGGCCGGTTGGGCCACGGCGACCCAGAGCATCAGTGGCTGCCGAAGAAGGTCGAGGCCTTTGCGGGCCAGCGCGTCGTCGCCGTCTCGGCTGGAGGCGAACACAGCCTCGCCCTCACCGCCGACGGCGCTGTCTGGAGCTGGGGCGACGGAGGCTACGGCAGGCTGGGCCACGGCGACGCGCAGAACCAGCTGCTGCCAAAGAAGATCGAGGCCTTGGCGGGGCGGCGCGTGATCGCTGTGTCGGCTGGGTGGCAGCACAGTCTCGCAATCACCGCTGACGGTTCCGTCTGGAGCTGGGGCTGGAGAGCCTCTGGCCGGTTGGGCCACGGCGACACGCAGGACCAGCCGCTGCCCAAGAAGATCGAGGCCTTGGCTGGGCAGCGCGTCGTCGCTGTGTCGGCTGGAGGCAGTCACAGCCTCGCCCTCACCGCCGACGGCGCTGTGTGGAGCTGGGGCGGCGGATACTTAGGCAAGCTGGGCCACGGCGACACGCAGGGCCAGCGGCAGCCCAAGAAGGTCGAAGCCTTTGTCGGTCTGCGCGTCGTCGCCGTCTCGGCTGGAGGATTCCACAGCATCGCCATCACCGCCGACGGCGCCGTGCTTACCTGGGGCAAGGGCGAACACGGCTGCCTAGGCCACGGAGATGACCTGTCGGACCAGCTGCTGCCCAAGAAGCAGGGGTCGTAAAGGCGGCCGGTCGGACGCTCTGAGAGTGAAAAACATTGTGTTTCGAGCGGTGTACCATACGGCTCAAGAATACAACAGTAGCGAGTACACATCGGCTCAAAAAGCAAAAAGTGACCCTTATCCTCTCTCTACTGCCCACACGCCGCCTTACACCGGCACGCACGCCGCCTCACCGGCCACCCAGGCCGGCTCGCAACCTGTGCATGTGCATGTTGTGGCATGTGGGGGGGGGCGAGGGGCCACAAAAGGCGACTGGGCGACACCCCGACTGGCGCGCATGCGGCCGCCGCGCGCCCGCCGTGGTGAGCACTATATACAGAGGCGGTGTACCAGCCTCGTGGAACGGCACAGTACAGCCGGCGATCGTGCACGGGCTCCACGCGTCTCGGCGTCTGCCCGCCTAGCTGAAGAGCGCGAGGCAGCGGCACTCGATGCTCCTGCTCGGCGGCGCGGCCGCCTCGCCGCCGCCGCCCGTGTCGCCGAGTGCGGTGTGAAAGACGAAGCGGGGCCCCTCGAGTGGCGCAGTGCCGTCGTAGCTCGTACGTGTAGAAGAGCAGCGCCTCCTCGTGCCGCATGACAGCATGTGCGGGTAGTAGTACCAGGCGTGCCGCTCGGAGAAGCCCACCTGCGGGGACGCGCCGCGGACGGGCCAGCTCGGCGCGTCGAGGGACCCTGAGTCACTGCCTCGGCGGGTTGGTTGTAGAGCCTCTACAACAGCGAGGCGGGTTGGTTGTAGAGCCTCGCAAAGCTCGCTTCCGAGCTCTCACGCCGCGCGTAGGGCCCTTAGGTAGGGGCCTAGAGAACACAACCCCCTCTCTCTTTTCTCCCAGTAAGCTAAAAGTACAACAAACTCTACGTTCACAGCAAAATCGCGCTCCACATCGCTCTACAACGCACCCGCCTCGTCACGCGCCGGATGTAGAGCTCTACAGCTCTACAGCGCTCCAGAGCGCTCTACATCTCTACAGCTCTACAGCGCTCTACACTCTACATCCTCTACACCCTCCCTCAGACAGTGGTGAGGCCCCAGATTCCGCCGGATGCGCCGAGTGATGCCGAATTCGGTACTTGGAGGCCCGGCGTTGCGGTCGTACTGCCTCTTAGTCTCTAGCAGGAGCACCAGCTTGCCAGAGAGCGCACTCACCCAGAACAGGCACGAGACCCGTAAGGCGCCGAGCCGTCGCGCGAGCGCAGCCCGATTGCGGCGAGTGAAACCATGTTGAAGATGTAGTGCGGAATTGAGGCGTGGCTCACAGGTTCGGTCACCGGCGTGTACCACGGCTGTGTTCCCTCCAGCTTGCGGAGTGGTTGGTAGGTGAAGTGCTGCCGCATATACGAAGGGGTCGGGAGAAAGGGGTTGCGGGAAGCGTCTTGGGAGGCCTTCTGGTTAGACATGCCGGCAACTTGCCACGCATACGCGATGCACGAGCTTGAGAGCACGAGGGCGTACACTGGCAGCTCTGAATACTGGAAATCACTCGGCCTACTAGGCAAGGAAGCCGGAGGTCGCTTAGGGTGGGGACGCCACCATTCGACGCTTGCACGAGAAGGAGAGGTCTGACCGCTGCAGGCCTGCGGCACGCTTGCCGAATGGCCACCGGGCTGGGCGCGAGGCCTGGTCTGAAGGTTCGTCGAGCAGCGGATAGCATCCGCACAGCCGCAGGGGAGGCGGGCCCACAACCGATCAACACGGTTGTCTGATACTGATTGGCCCATTTTTCAATGTGTGTCAATGTATCTCTCTCTCTCAATGTATGTGGCTCTTACGTACATTCCCGGAGGGGACTGCTTTTTTGTGTCTTGGCGGGATGAGAATCACCGGCAGAAATTCTTTTCCCACTTCCTCAACCTCTCTGTCCGATTTCTGCCGCCATCTGAACACAACAGCAACAACAACAACAACTTTCCGTAAAAGAAAGAAAGAAAGAAAACAGACACGCCAAACGAGGGATGGGACGAGGACAGGGTCCCCACCTGCACGAGCAGGATTTTGGAAGGACGATCAGGGGGACAGGTGGGGCTCTCCTGCTCCTGACAAGGGACACGACAGGCTCGCAGCGCGGTGCGCGGTGGACTCCCACATCCACTGGCGGTCTCATCTCAGTCTAGCGACCTGCCTCCAGCTTGTCGCTGGCAGTCTCTCCTACCACAGGCACACTGACACAGGGGTGGCAGGGGCGGCGGCACGAGTCTCCCACATACTATGCGGGCCTCACTAGAGGTGCGGCCTGTGCGTGTCCTCGCCCTTGAGGGGGGAGGGGAAGGGGCTGTGTGTCTGTGCATGTGTGTGTGTGTGTGTGTGTGTGTGTGTGTGTGTGTGTGTGTGTGTGTGTGTGTGTGTGTGTGTGTGTGTGTGTGTGTGTGTGTGTAAAACTTTCCGACAACTTTCCGTTGGACCTAGAAAAAATGATCGCTTTTCTTTTTTACGTAGGCTCCCCTCCATAGTTGTGTGCATGTGCATGCACATGCAAGTCTAGCATGACTGCGTCCAGCAGCGCCTATTCCCCTCCTCCTCTAGTGGTGTGGGACTTTGACTGGTCGCTCGTCAACGAGAACTCCGACACGTTCATCGTCAAGGCGCTCGATCCCACCGGCTCGATCCTGGCTGCCGCCGAGCGCAAGCTCAGCGAAGGCATGCAGTGGACGGCGCTGATGGATTGGGTGGCAGGGCAGCTCAGCGCGGCGGGACACGACGCAGAGGCGATGGAGGCGGCGCTCCGCCGCATACCGGTGCTCGGCCGCAGCCTTGCCGCGGTCGAAACTGCGCGCAGCCACGGCGCTGAGCAGCGGATCCTCTCCGACGCAAACGCGCTGTACATCCGCTGGACCCTCCGCGCTCTCGGGATCGCTGATGCCTTCAGCGTGATCGAGACCAACGGCGCTGCCGTCGACCCGGCTGGCCGGCTGCACATCTCGCCACACCAGCCGCCACACGCAGCCCACGGCTGCAGGCTCTGCCCGCCCAACCTGTGCAAGGGCGCCGTGCTCGAGCGCTGGCTGCGCGAGGGCGAGGGCGAGGGGAGGGCGCGCCGCTGCGCCTACGTCGGCGACGGCGGCGGCGACTTTTGCCCCGCGCTGCGCTTGCGGCGCGGGGACGCACTGTTCGCGCGCCAGCCGCCGCACGACGGGCTGCTGCGAAAGTGCCGCGCCGGCGGCGGCGTCGAGGCGGCCATCACGGAGTGGAGCGAGCGCGACGACGGCGCGGCGCTGCACGACGGCCTGCGCGACTTCTTGGTCAACGGAAAAAGAGAGGGCGGCGGTTGCGGGATCGTGTGACGCGCGCCTTGTGTGGCTGTGACTGAGAGTGTCCAGCGCTAGCGAGACACGAGACCTCGAGACGGAAAATACTGAAAGTCTTACAAATATGGCAGAAAAGGGCGTTATGTGATATGTGGGGGAAGCTCACACCGTCACACCGACAACGCACACAACACACACCCCCGCACATTGGATAAAAAGGTGCACACCCATCGCGATATTAGTTATTAGTGTGTCGTTTCAGTCGCGTCTGCGCATGGTGCCGGTCATCCAACGTGCATCGTGTCAGGCGGCCCCAACATTCAAGCCTCGAGCGGCTCCTTGGCTCTCCTCTCATACCGCCAGCGGGCCAAGTTCATGGCCGTCCTCGACTCGCGTCAGCTTCCGTAATCGAGTCAAACCTCCGAGACTCCTGGTCAAACCTGGTCAAACCTGGTCCAGCCCGTTCGCCCCTCGCACCACACGCGGGTAGCCCCACTGAGCTCGCCCGCCCTTCTCAAATCACCCAACGCCGACCAGCTGACGGGGCCTCGCTCCTCGGGCACGCCCTCGGAAGTCAACGCCACATAAAACCACCGCTTCGCGTCCTCTCCGCCAGCTCCGTCAGCGGGTGCTTGAGGAGTGCCTGCCCTCGTCAGGTCAGCACTCATCTCTGGATATGGATCCCTCGGAGACGGAAACCCGTCCGACCCGCGCGGAGAGCTCTTCGCAAACACACGATTTATCCGGTCCTGGGCGTCGCTAGAGCCAAAGCGGCGATGCAGCATCTCGAGAGTCTGCTGTCGCTCCACAACAAGGTTGATCGCTGCAGGCGGCGGCGGGCCCTGGTGCTGCAGAGACTTTTGGTCCTCAAGCGACACGGAGAGCATCTCGCGGTGCGAGTGCGAGCTCGGCTCGATGGAGCAGCGGCGGCCACCATGATGATGGCCGCGCATCCGAAAAGAAATGGTCGCGACGGCGATGACAACTCCAACCAGCCCGGCTGCAGAGGCTATGATGGCGACGGGAACCGTGCCGGACAGCACCAGCAGCGCCGCGGCCGCCGGCGAGTCGGCAGTGTGGTTGAGCAGATGACTTTTCATGGACACGGTAGCCACGCCAGGGGCGAGACGCTCTCAAGGAGGGCATCGGGATTGCAAGCTGGTTTGAAGAAACCCGGCGGGACGAACAAACCCGAGGTGAACTTTTTTGCATCCTCACTCTCTTTTGTGCAGGCTCCTGCAGGGTGGAGGGAGGTTACTTTTTTCCCTTTTTTCAAGAAGCGTAACTTTCCCTTTTTCTGCCGGTTGGAGTTACTACTCGAGTACTTTATCTGGGCTTCATTTCTAGCATCCGTCCGTAAGATACATTGGAGCGTTAACTAGGGTCCTCCTCCTGGAGTCGTCGCGTGCCTCCACAAGGAAGAGCTTGAGCACTTGCGCACTGGATAGGGTCGATTCCGCATGGTACGGGACCCCTCGATCGTCTCGCCCTCCCCTCACTGTGGTGTGTTCATTGGGGGCGGGGTCATAACAAACACGGTACAGGATCGAGGTGCACGCTGCAGAGGCAGTGTCGTCCCCCCTCTCCCCGACGGCGATGGCGGTGTGACCGATCGAGCTACAAGAAGAACTTGTTCAGCAGGATCCGAGTGCTAGACCAGTGCACTACCTCACTGGGCCTGAGATCACCAGAACGCTTCTCGTCACCGTCTCGGGTTTGTGTGGGATCGAACCACTCCGGAATGGGCAAGCCCATCGTTCGCTGGATTGTGCCTTTCCCTCACCTGCAGGGGACAGCCGAGGGTATACCGTGCGCCGTGTCGGCCTGCCCGGGCCCGGTGGAGGAGGGGAGGGGGGAGGGGGGGGGGGGGGGGGCTACGCAGTACCTGACCATCGTGGGTCATTCATTCCTTCAGCCGGCTCTTTTTGTCAAGGGAAGGCGCAGGGCTTTTTCTCTTTGTCGGCTCGCCACCACACGTCCACACCTGGCTGGGTTCCGGCTCCTAGCCGGATTAGGGGGTCTGTATCTACACCCGTTGGAGCCATGGCCAACGCTTCGCCGCCACCTCTGCCTCCGTCACCCCCACCACTGATCCAGCCTTCAGTGTTGCCACCCAGCCCTGCGCCGGTTGCCCTTCCGCCGCCGCCCCTCCCAACACCTCTGCCACCGCCCGTACCACTGCAGCCTCCGCCACCGGCGCCGCCTCAGCAACCGCACCAGCCGCCGCCGTCCTCTCCGCTGCAGCCGCCGTCTCCCCTGCCACCTTCACGCTCACCGCCTCCGCCCCAGCTTGTCTTGGCCAACGCTTCGCTGCCACCACTGCCTCCTTCACCCCCGCCACCGCCCGTACCACTGCTGCCTCCGCCACCGGCGCCGCCTCAGCAACCGCACCAGCCGCCGCCATCCTCTCCGCTGCAGCCGCCGTCTCCCCTGCCACCTTCCCTCTCACCGCCTCCGCCCCAGCTTGTCTTGGCCAACGCTTCGCTGCCACCACTGCCTCCTTCACCCCCGCCACCGCCCGTACCACTGCTGCCTCCGCCACCGGCGCCGCCTCAGCAACCGCACCAGCCGCCGCCATCCTCTCCGCTGCAGCCGCCGTCTCCCCTGCCACCTTCCCTCTCACCGCCTCCGCCCCTTCCCTCGATCCCGCCGCCCTCTCCACCGATTAAGGTCGTACTACCTTACATCTCAGTAGACATTACACCGACACCGGCTCCTGGTGCGCCGCCACCGCCTTCGCTTCCGACCACGTCTCCTCCTTCCCTTCTTCCGCCGCCACCTTCGAGGACCGGAGACGGGCAAATACAAGGCCATTCGCACTCGTACTTGTCGTACCCGTTCTACCTTGGCCTGTCGGTCGGCCTAGTGGCCTTTCTGATGCGCGGCCTGTGGGCTCGTTATATCCAGATGCGCCACAGCTACGAGTAGTAGCCAATTGACACCCCTTCCCTACTCGTTGCTATCTGTTCACTCTCCGTTGTGCTGCTAGGTCGCGACTAACAAGGACGAGGACTGGGTAAAGCACACCCTGACGCTGCGTTAATTGTGGCCTGAAGCACCCTCCAGGATAGTTGCGCCGATCCGGTTCCACTTACCCGCCGGGCCCGGCCTGGACGCTCGGCGGGGATGGGGCCGCGACGCTTCTGTCTTCTCCTTCTCCCCTCTCGCGGATGCTCGACGAGGAGAGTCGAGCAGTGGTCGGCGCGTAGGGCTAGGGGTGACATCACGATTAATGTCGCTTGTCGGCCGCCGCGGGCTGTTCACACTGCGACTGCAGTACTCTGATATGTGTGATCTCACCACTCACGGCTTCCACACGACACGCGTCACGCCGCTCGCCAGGGCGCGCGGCGGGGCCGGGGGGGGTGAAGCGGGGGACAGGGGTCCTGTACACGACGCCAACAGTGTTCCGCAACAGCTCAACAGCCAGCAACCCGCTTCGCGATCACCACCGCCACGTTTCGAAATTCGAAACACGCGGCTTGCCTTTTGTAAACTTTTATGCTTGTTTCGCTGTCCACCAGCGTGGCAATCAGATGACGACGACGCGCACGCGCAACGCGGCCGCTCTCTCACCATTGCAGCGTGCACAGGGAGAGGCCCCCACAATGCGACACGGTTACCGCCCCCACGCTTAGCGCAAGAGCAGCGCCGCGGCCCGTTTGCAACGGCCTCGCGGCCGCCGCGGCCCCCCGCGGCACCCAGGGATGGTCCCGCGCCTGGGTGCCGCTGCCTCTCTGTGCCCGACGGCAGGGATTGGTGCGCCAAGTGCCACCTCGCCCACCGACGGCCTCCTCTCTCCCCCCCCCCTCCCCCCTCCGACGTAGAATCACCGCCATGCGTCACGCGAGCCGCC